GGACTATCCACCTCTGCTTTACATCATCATTAACCAGTCATTCCAGGTCAAGTTAAACATCTATATAAAATATTGGATAAATAAATCGCTATAGACAAGAATCAACAGAATTCTCACCAGAGACATTTTTACTTGGATATAAAAATTACTCTGAGCTCAGAAAGGATGAGGTGCTGTACCAGGAGTGAGTCTCCAGGGTAACATGTTTACATTTACATTTAAGGATTAAGCCTGTTTAGGATTTTCACAGTACAAAATCAAAGAGGAATGTAACTTAATTATATGCTTTATTTCCTAAATCAGCGACAGTATCAGTGAAAATAACAGCAAGGTCAAAGCCATTGTACCGTCATAATTACAACACGCCAGAATTTTAAAGACAAATGCTAGACAAAGAAAACAGCCAAAGAGCATACAGGACCTCTTTGATCTTCAGGCACATTAAGCATGAAGACGCGTGTTAAGCCTATGACATAATATGATGACAACAGACTGGTGTGGACAAAGTTAAGCATGAAAAGTCCTTCATTTGTCTGAAAGAGAAAGGCTGCTTCTATGCTTGTGCCTAAAAGCATATTGCAAACACAAAGATAAGCTCTATATCTATTTATTAGGAAAAAGCATCTTCAGGGAAAAGCCCTGAGGGTTACTAAAGGACAAGGTTTTTGTATGGACTCAGATGGCCTTGTACAATTTTCCACCTGTCTGTCATTCTCCCATAAGCCCCTCAAAGGTGCTGTGACCAGAGAGGACAAACGAGAATTTATTATAGCCACAACAATGTCCAGTGCATACACCTGTCAATCACAGCTACTTAAATGAGCACATGCGTGAATAATGCATAAATAGACACACAATAAGGTTGTATAAACACATACACAAATGAAAAGTGTTATCTGTTCCTCATGATGTTGCATTTCTCAAAGCCTTCACGCAAAGTACTTCTGCATGGCAGCTTGTGGTTTTCCTCCTCACTAGTCACCAACAACGGATGCTGCAGTAGTTTTTCTCTCATTTATCACTGATAAAAATTCTGACACAATTTAATAGCACAGAGGTGCAACATGCTTAAATGTTTCAACCCATACAGAGGGATACAAAAGAGGTTTTTTGCCCCAAGTGATTCTCGGTTGAGATATCCTATTAAATGTTTTTGCTGACACGTGTTTGGCCTTTAAATGTGGATTAAATAGAAAGTGCTCTAAAGCCAAAAGCCAGCTTGATTTAAAAAACGTAATGTGCATTTAGTTCTTAGGCCCAGAGTCGTCACAGGAGAATAACTTCTGTGTTTGCTTTCCAAGTTTTGTTTTACATAGTCACAACTCCTCACAATGACTTCATTTTCAACATGCAGGGGTAATTCCTTGATCTGAACTTTAGAGGGTGTCTGTTTACGTGTCAGATGATGAAGGCTGATTGTTACTTGTGATTGCAACATCATTCAATATGTCATAATCATGGCATATACATAACTCTGCTTTTCTGCCTCTTTCAAAACTGACCAGTGTCTGCTAGCAATCACAGGACAATAGTGACCATCACATCAGTCATTATAGCAGTTCAGCCAATCAGGAGATGGAGAGAAGAAGTAGAATGAAATAGTTTGCGGTTTATTCATAAAACTCTGAAAGTAGACGAGTGAAGGTTACCTAAAGTGCAGTGGGGCTCTACTGCTGGTTTCGTTTGAGGGCCTTAACCAAGGACTCCAGGGATAAGCAGAGCATTTTATTCAGTGTGTGTGTGTATGCATGTGGAAGCATTTTTCTGGGCTAGCGTATCCATGCGTGTGCTAGTGTGTGCTAATGTGTGCACACTAGGGCAGGATCAGTGGAGTAAATCCACACTTGAAAGAGTAGCTCAATCAAGCTCTCCCACCCATCTCTCTCTGCCTCGCTGTGTCTCTCTAAACTCCCCGATGTTCCCCTGCTCCAGGTTCACAGAGAGTTGAAAGGTTCACAGGAACAAGGTGCAAACGAACGCTACGGAGGGGCAAAGAGGATGAGTGTGCACCTTTAATACTACCTGTCAGTGCTCGTATTACAACTGTCAATCAATCTTTTATTAAGGAGTAGTCATGGACAGGGTGTTACACATCTGTCAATATTTGCTCTGCTAACATGTCAACTAATGAAATTCTGATGATGGATGTAGACACAGACAAAATGTATTTGCAACATACTCATGAGTCTTTATCAGTAACATGGTTGGTCCTATAACTTTCTGAAAACAATGCCAACGTGTAATAAGTGTATATTGCTAATATAAAACAAACAGTCGTTAGAATTAACTACAACTGTTATGATCAAATAAAACATTACTGCATAACAATATTCTGTATATAATTCCATTATCACAGAAATAAACTCTAAAGTTCTCACTGTTATGTCACAGTGAGTTTAACTGAACTGGTTGAGTTTTTCCCTGCCAGACATCATTGTTTCTTATCCCACTTGAGTCAATTATACGATTATTTAAAAGCAAAAGAATCATTATTATAGCTTTTAACTTCCATTTATCGGCAGGTTTGCAGACAAAACAACTTTTACTTTATCATACTCTCCTCTCTCTTGGTTTAACTTGCTGGTTGACAACTAAAGCCTGTTCCTTGAAAGGGAATAAAAAGCATGACCTCATTTTGTTTCCCGTGCGATTTAATAAAGGCGATTTTATGGTGCCAAAAGTGGAGAAGATGCCCTTCATTAGAACAGTGCGTACCCAGCACGTCCATAATTTAATCCAATTTAGTTTAGCATGATAAAGGGCATAACTGTCAGCCAGCTCAACTGCCCACCCACTCGTGACGTCTGCATGGTAATGGACATGAAGAAAACGTAGAGCCCCAGGGGGTTCATGGGTAGATAATGCACAAACCGAACATTCAGGGATGGGACAACTTGACGCTTCCTCTGCCGTATTGAAACTATGTCACTTCTATTGATATTCAATTCGTCATACCCTGGGTCAGTGACAGGCCATTGTGGCAGTGTGCATTAAGAGGTGGATTCCTGAAAGCAGAACGGAAGGTTGTGTTCACAACAAAACCTTCAGTTAGTTAAATCTCTGATTGTTCAATTGTTCAATATTAATTAAACATATACTTTTGCTTTCAATGTTTGGACTGTACAAACAAAGACAACCAAGACAAATGGGCCTTTGAAATTATTACATCATAAAACAAGGCAGGGACATTTTATTCGTCAAGAATCAAATTATTTATAGGTTCCTTTGATGGGCCCAAAAAAGACATATTATCCGTCTAATGGACGGATCTTTTCATTACATTTAAATGAACAAAGATGCTTTCCTTGAAGGAAAATGGCCTTCGGTGGTCTGCAACGGGTCATTAATTAGTTCTATAAAACTCTGATTTGAATTAAGGGTAGAGTGAAACTTTTTATGGGTGAAATTTCATTAGTGTCTCTAAAGAGTTGGAAGCTGCTTTTCTTGTGTTTGAGGCATAAAAGTGAGAGTGTCTTCTTAACCCACAACAAGGTTCAGGTACTGAATCTCTAGACAATCTTTAAAGCTCATGTTGGGCTGTGAAATGCACAGAGAATTCCAGACGAGTCAGGACGCTATTTTTGTGGCACTCCATTCAGATGAGTGTTAGCTGCAGCGAGCTGTCATTGGCTTAAATGGACGCCAAAAGCGGTTTTGTTTGTGGGTGTGCGTGTGTGCGTGTGTGTTCACAGTGACTCATTCTGTATCAGTCTTTAGAACATTGTTGCATCCATGGAAAGCTTCATCCTTGAATTTTGTGTGTGAGCACACACATATTTGCATGCATGTGTAAGCAACATCCTTTGTGTGTAAATACAGGCTGTGAAAATCTGAAACACTCCTGCACTTAGAATCATAACAAGTGGGTAAAGAAGTGACAGGCAGGCTGAGCAGAGACAAGCAATCCTTAAACACGAGGATGTGAACCGAAGTTCTTTCCGCATTGTCAGGCTGGGCTAAGGCCTGGATGAGACAGACAAAAAGAGACTCTTATACTAGACAGACGAGCACAACATGAATGCACCTCTTGTGTCAGATCTTACATGTGCACTTCAGGTGAACAAGAAGTTACAGTTCAAAGCTGTAGATTTAGCCATATCAAAGTTGGCCTACATTATCATGCTGAGGGGTTTAGACAGAACTCTTACAATGTCAAATAAATGTGCTATCGTTCCACAGTTTCATTGCTTCTAATCTTTGTGTATTTGTATACAATTTAAGGGGGTGCATTTCTTGAGGTGTCACTTGCCCAAGGTTGTAAAAAGCATCATTATTCTGCTACTGAAACATTACAGGCCGATAAATTGAACTGCTGTGCAGCTACATGTAAGGTAAAAACTAGCTTAAGTGCATTTATTTCTCCTCCAGACATGTGAGCATTTACAGGATGAAGTCTATAAAGGAAGGCAGCTTTACAGCATCATAATTCTAGTGACACCACACCCCTTGTTTAACCTTACGTGGCATTGGCTGGTCTCATTTCCGCAGACCACCCAGGCCTGAACTGATGGCAAATCTGGGCCTTCAGCTGCCCCGCCCACCTGGTCACCACAGTTAACATGGAAAAATACACACCACGTGCCAAAACACTAGCAGCAGCTATCACCAGTGGCACAGTGTACAGGAAGCTGGGGCAGAAGGTAAGCTGAGATAAAATGTGGCAGTCACAGGAGGTGCAGCTAGCTATGTTTTTCCACCACAGTGGGGGTGAAGTCAACCTGTTCTCCTGGTCTATATGTGGAAGTAAACAGGATGCTAACAGTGGGATGGAGGTGCTGTGCCATACCTAGCCCTATTCTCCAATTATTCACACTTAAATAGCTGAACATGGAAAGACTTGTCTCAGCATAAATGCACCTGATATCATGTTAAGCCATCTCTTCTACAGCAACTGCCTTGGAAACTATACATGTGGAGAGAATTAAATATCCCATTGGTCCATAAGGTGCTACTGTTGCATGTGTAATGTGTATATGAGCATGTGTATGGTATAAACTCACAGCAGGTACGAGGAGCTTCTTGACCTCCTCCACTGCTCTCCTCATCTTGATCTCAGCTCTGGCCTGTGTGTCCTCCACTGTGATCAGGACGTGAAGGTCTTCATTAAGGTGTTCCCAGTTCGGCTTTCCTCTGTTCTGCTCCTCCTGGACAAAGAGAGGAAAAGCAAGAGTTGACTGTGAGTGTAACAGTGTGGGTGTGCTGGAGCACCCGTACAGTAACATAGCATAAAGGAAGTAAGCACAGGCAGGAGGCGGTAATTCACAGAGGACGGCAGGGCCCTTGTCTTCTCTTCCTGAAGAGAAGCTGGATGACAGTAGGGGCCCTTTAGTCAGCTATTTAACTTTAACTTTGAAAGGACACCTTCTTTAATAGATCCCTCGCTTCACAAAGACAAAGTCGACAGCTAGCCCTGCAGCAATTAATATCAGTGAAAGATAGATGAATGGAGGGATCAGAGAGATGTGGATGGGGATTTTAAATCACACCAACGTAACGGGTATGAATGCATGGAAAGAGCTTGGAAAAGGGTAAGAGAGAATGGGAAGGGTTGAAAGAGCTGCAGGATTGTGTGTGGAGGTACACTGACTTGTATGTGTGTGTGGACAATACAGTCCAAGTAACAATGGCTCTCTGAGGGAGTTGTTTTTCCCACTGAAAAGGCAGCGCCAAAGCACTCACAGAAGGCCAAATTGTAGCACTACAGCTAAGGCGAAGGCAAAATGGGTAGTATCCAAAACATCACTGTTCAACAGCCTTTTAACATTATAATGCAATATTTTGAACGTGGGAGGCTGGGTTTGGGAAATGGTGCACAGAAGGACTGGCAAAATTGGCCAATGATATTTGATTAATCATTCCAAACAAATGCATAGCTTCAAACCGTTTAAATGTTTTGTCAATAAGAGGGCAAACTGATACATAGATGCATTTATCTCAACATAACATCTTTTGGTGGTGTTAGATTCATCCAGCCCGGCTCAGCTGTGTGCATATTTTTGAGATGTTCTGGATCTTTTAGTGCTTGAATTCTCGGTTAGCTGTAGCTTCGAAGCTTGCATACAACATTAAAGTACCAAAAATATACCATGTAATGACCAAAATCCAAAGTCTTTCCAAACAGGGTTGGGAGGTAATATAGTATTCTTAGATATGAGAAAATAGCAATGGTGCTCGTTTGATTACCATCATAAGAAAATGATCAAAACATACAACATTTGCATGAGCACTGCCTTGGGTGTGTTTGTCCACCGTCACATGTGGTTAAAGATGCTAAAGTGAAGTTCTGCAACTAATATTATTTCTAAAGCAACATTTATAAAAAAGACTCAAGTCTTAAAAGAGATCATAATTGTGACAGGTACTCCTCAGTGGGGAAAATTTGAACAAACAGATTGCAAGTGCAAGCCAGTTAGCATTGACAGAATTACAAATTTGGAACATTTAACACATTCTTGCCAATGTGTGAGAATACTTTCACACATAGTTAAAAAAATTATGGTTAACTATATCAGAGTAGAGTCACTAAGAATGCTCTAAAAGCTTTTTGAGGTTGTATCTCACATCACTCCACAGTCATGAAAGTCAGCGGTTTGAAAGCTGACTACTACTGTCTGAGTTTAAGGGATCGGGTCTAGGGTGATTCTCTGATTTGTGACACCACATTAAAACATCAATACAAGAGATAACAGTGTTACAATGTTATTTGAATGACTTCATGAAAATTTAAATGGGAAAATCCACTTGATTATAGCCGAACGTCTCTAAATCAGAGTTGTGATTTCCTTTTGCGAAGGAGGTCAGCAACTCAAGCAGTCAACTGCATCCCAGGTTTCTCCCACCTGCTGTTGGTGCAGTTTGTAAAGACTGTTGAGGAACACTGTGTTGTTTATCCCCACCCTCACATACCACCTCAACTTCAGAGGACTGCTCATTTGAGAGCACTGTGAGGTTGTCTAATTACAAACAATGCATTGCAGTGCTTTACAGGGGGTCCACCTGACATGATTTCGGTACACTCCGTAAGCACAACAAAGTAAGAAGGGGCTCATACGCACACACAGAGCTTAGAGCCTAAGCGGAGTGCCACCCACCTGCTTTCTACTCCACAGAGAGCTGTTGCCATGGCACTGCTCTTTACACACACACACACACACACAGACAGAGAGAGAGAGAGTTCAATATTCCACTCTCGTTTCCCCTTTTCCACACAGGGGGAGGGCCTCGTTTCAGCAGTCATCCCATTATTTCACCATGGCTGTTTGCTTATGGCCTATTAAGGGACATGGGGACTGGACGGTGACTCAGCATTTTCTATGAATGGACGGACAGACAGACCATGAAGGCTGACTCTGCATGCAGGGCACTATGAGAGCACGCGGTAAAAACACACTGACAGATTGTAACCTGAAGCAACGTTATGCAGCTATTGTACCTTAAAATGAAATGACACCTTAAAATCCTTTTGATGGTACATTGACTTGTAATATGGGGGCCTCTTTCACTGCCACTCTGCGCCCTGAACGCCTGGTGTTGCACTATGTATGTTTGTTGAGCTGGTACAAGTTTTGAGAAGTGATAGTCGCTTCAACTGCTGAAATCAGGCCCAACGTGTTCTAGAGCAACGCCTACCTGTAGATCAGTTAAAAGACTTGTAGGCTGCTTGTGGCTGTAGGGGCCACTGTTGCTCAGGGAATGGGGGGGTGACGACGAAAGAGAAGAGGTGAGGTGAGCGCCAGAGGCAACACTGGGAAGGGCTTTGAAGAGAACGTCCATGCTGGCTTACATCAAATGCCGTGGCAATAACCACATACCAGAGAGTAATCTGTTTTGGCAAAAATATGTAGCATGAAAAAATAGCACAGATACTGCATCTAGAAACAACATCTGAGAATAGGATCAGAGGGAAAAGGCCGCTTGTCTATAATGTTGCCTGACTTCGATCATCTGCAGAACACCTGTTTGCCTCCCGGCTTTCACGCCCTGAAGCTTGAGTCCAATAAACTTTAAGACCTCAATTCTTAACATGGATGACACCACATTCAAAGAGGTTACAAAAATAGATGACCCTCATTTTCTTCTGACCCTCCCATCCCTTTTTAGGTTGCACTTAAAAAAATGAGTGGCAGTTCAATCTGGCTGTTTATACATGTTATTGATCCTGTTGGTGCCATCATTTTGCCAGTCCGCATCCACGGGGAAGTCAGCGTACAGGGTCGGGTATACCCCTGAAGCTCAAAGGACACATAACAGGGTGCACATTTGCAGACGCAGAGCTTTCAATCCTTGGTGTTGTGGCTGAAGGTCAGTCCCGCTTAATAAACCAGCCTGCTGCTTCAATGGGATTTTGGATTATGTGGTGCTACAATTTTGTCCTGGCAGTGTTGCACTTTAACACTCATAAATGAAACTATTTGCACTGTTTCAACTCTGCCTCTCCTGCTCTCCTTTGATTCAAAAGGATGTTCCCGACTGGGGTCGATGCAACCTAGGCTAAATGCCAGCAGAGCAAACAGGTGCAGCTGCAGGAGCATGGAAGGACAACAGAGGACAAGTGTGAGTGTAGAGGACGAATCAGCTGCGATTAAGAAATGTGATAGAAAATATTAATGTAAGATGATCTTTTATTTGCAGCCGAGGGAATAGCAAAAGAAGCAAACACCTGTATGAACCTTAAAAAAAATTAAATAATCTAAATCAGACTTTCCTAGACAGAATAACCCAAATATGAACACATTTAGTGGAGAATTTTTAATGAGGTAATTGTTTGACACAAGCATGAAAGAGGGGAGAGAGCAGGGAAGACATGCAGCAAAGAGCCGGATAGGAATTGTGGTCATTACAGGTTAATAATAATAACTTTATATTCATAGCTATTAAGTAAACAAGGTTACAAAGTGCTTACCAAAATAAAATACATGGCAAAAAGAAGAATGAATTATAATAAAACATATTGCTGATTTTAGCCAACTGACGGCATTGGCTTAGATTACTTTTACAAAATATAAGACTACGTAAAAGGTGAGCTTTGAATCTGAAAAGAGAAACTATGGGCAACAGTATCCAATTCCAAAAGGTTGTATAAAGTATGTTTTGTTTTTTTTTACTGTCATATACAATAGTATACAATTCCAGCAGATGTGTTTGTCAAACCCTGATGAAGACCTAGAGTCTGTACACATTGATCTGTTTTTCTGCAGAGATGCTTAGAAATAAAATAATAATATTATTTCACCTGAAGACAGAGTGACAGTTTTTTTTCCATGCCAGTCTGAGATATTCAATATGCAGGGAGACTTCTGGGATCTTGTTTTTGTACTTCTACCTGCCTCACTAAAGAGCACCTGTCGGATCAGCCACAGACATGCAGCCTCCTTCCCCTTTGTAAACAGGTCCCTGAAATGTCAGGATTTTTAGCTCTGTGTTGGAAAAAGGAACCACATTACAGCACACCCCAACAGGAGTAATTATAGCACCAATACACCACACTGCAACGGTTGCTACACCTCCTGCTATTTACCACCCTGAATGTCCTGAACCATCACATTCTCCTATTGCCCTCCCAAGCCACTTTCAGCCAATAACCCTGAGGCACCAAAAGTATTACCTGGACACTGCTCTGCTTTTCTCATCAGCCTAATAGCTCCCTGTAAATTCTTAATAAAGAAGAAGCGAGCTTTAACTTGGGCTGGGTCAAGTAATTTGAAATAAAGAGATGAGGGAAAAGGGCCAGCGTTAACTTTAACAAGTGGGCTTGCATGCTGTAGTGCCAACGGGCCAATCAAGTTGAAAATATTGACTGCCAATGTCACAGGCTGCCAGTTCTTAAGCAATAAAATGTGGGAGATGTGTGGTGTTGCACTGTCTATTGGCTGGCAGAGCTGGAGCGGAGCTGGGGCCGGAGGCCTATGCTGTTCAGCCATTGACCGTGCTGATACCACAAATTTAGGTATAATGTATCGGGACATTAAGAAAGAAAAAAAGAAAGTGCAAGGACATTTAGTTTAGCTTAAACTAAAACAGCTGTCTATGGTGCTTTCTGTAATCTTACTCTGTCTGGTAGCCAAAAAAGAAATCAAGGAATTGTGTTTGCAGACGGGAGGGAGATGCCTATTCTATTTGAACAGTGGTCGATATAACGTACCTTTAATTTAATTGCTGTTGTTGCTGCTGTTGTTTCACATTAATCATGTCTGTAAAACTGAAAACCAGGGAGACTAAAGCTGCCACATTAGATGAAAGTTTGATTAGAAAAGGGCTCCAGAAGGAGTCTCTTTCCTATATAAGCATCAAAAAAGGACAGAACTCGCAAGCTTCATCCCCGGGGGCTGCATCTGAAAAGTGCTGTAGACAACACAACATTGAGAAAAAACCCACAAGAGATTGGAGGACGGCTGAGTTTAGAGGCATCATAAACACCTTTAAAGGGAAAGTTCTCGAGGGAATTTGTGTGTGATCCATCCTGTTTGACAATAGTGTCAAAAAAAGATGTCCAAAAGTCTCCATCCACATAAGTCCCAGGAATGTACTTGCACTTACTCAGTAACTCTCACCTTACATTTAGTCTTGTTTGATCAGAGTGTGATGTGTAGTCTGGGGACAGGTTATTATCCTACGTTAGTCTCTCTTGTCTCCTCCTATTTGAGTTGAACATCATGTCCACCCAAACTTATGCTGGTTATACCCACATTATGGTCAAAATAAATATCTAATCCTGATTAAATTAAAGAAAGCTACAGAAATGTCATTTTAAAAACGACAAGACTAAAATGTTATTTAAAAAAATAAAATACACTCGAATTAGTCTGTTTTTTTGGTGTTCTTTCAAACAATGACAATAATAATCCAAATGTTCTTTCAAAGGCTTTGCTGCACATTTCACCTCCTGTATCCCTGAATTATCTTTTTAACAACAGCAGTACAACACACAAGTGCAGAGACAAGAGCACTAGACTGGTCAAAGCTATGTACAATGGCTGCAGGTCATAAAATACAGAGAAGGAAAAAGTAACAGGGTAACATTTTGACCGTATCATATATAACTCAGAAACAAAAATGACTTTTCGATTGTCGGGAGAGACACCCCGCGGCTACAAAATCACCGGGAGAAAAGAAGAACAAACCTGAAGAGACACCTTAAAGCACATAAAAGATGAAATAAATTTAAGATGTTAAATGTTACTTTTAAAAACATGTAAAGCCAACTACTATGGGCTGTGGTGCAACATTATCTAACAGCAACAGTGGGACCATGCTACTTTACAGACTTTGTCAGTAGCTCAGTCACATTTCAGGAATGAATCAGTGAAAGCAAAATCTACTGGTGATTATTTTGTTCGCAAATACGTTTACGTTTCATATTTTCTTCACAAATGTATCTCAATTGTAATTTAAATCAGAAACACTTACTGTTTAACACAATAATAAACAAAACAAGGTCTATCAATTACAGAATAAAAATCAACACCTTTCTTGCACAGCCTGACAAAACTGGACAACATTAAGGTAAGATTTATTTCAGGGCTTTTGTACAAAGTTTGTTTCTATTGTGAAGGGTTTTCTTTTTTCCGGATCCTTTCTGATTGACTCATATTATAAGAGAAAGCTTGCATTGGACATGACCGATCCAGATTTAAATATTAAGACTAAAATATTGAGTCAATTATAAACCACGACTAAAACTAACATGGACTTATTAATGTCTAAGACTTAAAATAGAAGATGAAAGTTTTCCTGTGACCATACTATAGTGAGACCGAGTTTAAAGTTTACATGCAACTACAGATGGACACTGTTGTAGCCTCCACTATAACCAGAAAATATAGACTAAACTAGAAAATACTGTGCATGACAGAGATTAACAAAGGAAAGGCTAACATAAAAGATTAAGGGATATCAGGTAAGTGGCTGCAGGACTGAAAAGAACTTTTGAGCAAAGTTAAATGACAGCAGCCAAAGTAATGTCCATACAAATTACTATGGGATACAATCTGACTAAATTTGTATTGTTATTTCAGTGCCGGTATGTGTACAATATGAGCTGTAATATGTAGGAAAAATTTAAATATGATAAAAACAATGGAAATCTCAAGAGTAGATATTTCTACTTGATCTGCTTTTAATCTCTTTGCCATTGTTCTTTATACATTCTTCATCCTCTTTCACTGTCCCCCCAGTCACTGCTCCACTCTCTCCCACTGCGTAGCTCCAGTGAGCTGACTCCCCGTCAGGCAGTGCAGCCCAGGAGGGAGCAACTAGCTGAATTATTGAGAGCATAAAAACGCTGCAGCTAATGGATCCTGAATAAACACACCGGCTAAGCTGCTGCGGCGGCTTCCTTACTGCCACAGGGCATCAAGCTGAAAATTCTGAGACTGAGGATGCAGAGGCTGGAGGCTACAGCTGAGGCTTTGTCTGGAACTGAGCCACAGCTATGACACACAGGAGCCATCCAAAAGCATTTGGGGTACAACGAGGTATCCTTAAAGTGATTTATGTTACTTAGTGTGGAGACAGAGTGGAAAAATAAACAGGAAACAATTGAATGTCTTTTTCATTATCTTTTTCCCCCAGGTAAACCTAATGTTACAGTGTATATATAAACCAGCGCTCACAACGGGTAAAAGACGGGAAAGTAGCGAGGAAAGAAAATGCAATTTTAACTGGAGGACAGTTCGATTCAAGCCTTGTTCAGTTAACTTCAAACGTGCAAAGAAAAGCATTTATGTTGTTTTTAAAATGTTCCCATTAATTTCATTCCTTCTTCAAACAGCTCATGTGTGTTTTTGTAAATATTCAACTGAATTGTGCAGAGCTGGTTCATACATGCTTGAGCGTGTTCACTCCCATTTAACTACTTCTGGATCTAATTCCAAAGAAAGAACCATGGCAGAACGTCTTAATCATGTTCTGTAATAATGAACACACTCAGAGGGAAATGAGAAGAGATAGAAATTAAAATACGAATACGGAGCCATAAAAGAGAAAGAGGGAAGAAAACGTTGGCCCTGCAGCAAACTGGAGCTTCTAAGATTATGACTCAGCTGAAAAAATGTGTATGACTGTGTGTGTGAGAGAGAGAGAGAATGTGTAGAGAAGGTGATTCCCATACTGAGAGAGATTAAATCTACTTTTTCTGACATATGTAAATAGCACCACTTCCTGGCAAATCTGGGCAACTGGGAGGTACGGAGAAAAAGCAAAAATATGCCAAAAAGAAAATCAGAAAAACTGCCTAAAGCATGACTGAAGCCCATGAGCAAAACAGGCATGGATGTTTGACATAAAAACTGTCCATTTGCTGTCAACAAATCTGATCAGACACAATTTGGAACACCTCTGGAATACAAGTTGCAGAAGTTTAGGTTTTCATCATTGTCTGCTCTGGCCGATCAATTTTGATATTTATTTATTCAAAACTGAAATATGCCATGAGTCAGATTTCTAGGCTGGAAGGACACACAACTACGTCACAAGACAGACTCATCCACGATATTCTACAGTCAGTCGGTAAGCCTGAAATTCCTAATGCAGACTGACAATGTTTTGTGTAAATAGACATTTTGCAGGTTAAATAATGCAAAAAAGATTCACCCCTTTGGTCACAGGATACGTATACACACACATTATCCTTTTATGACTCCAACATCAGATCAGTGGGTCCAGAAATAGAGGTAGCCCCTGGCCTTGGCCGTCTTACTTAGCACTGCCCTCTGTACTTTCCATTGCACAGCGTTTCGCAAACGGCCCTATCAGATGTCAGAATGCAGCCAGCAGGCATTAAGCGTGCAGGCATCTTCCTCATGTTGCTACAGGGCTAGTGGTGTGTTTCTGTGCGACAGCCCCGGTGCCTCCCAGTTTCACATTGTTGTGCAATATTTCAAGAAAGGCGATAAATCTTTTTGGGGAATGAAAAAAGTGGGCTTAGTGTGTGCTGGTTTGGTCTTGTTTTTATTTTATTTTACTTGTGTGAATGGAATCTACAGTGTGACATTATTACAAAGAGATAATACAAAGAGCACACAGCCATGCAGATGACCTTACCTTTTTCTTGTCTCTCATGGAGCTCTTGCCTCGCACCATGATTTTGCATCCCGTCTCTGCTTCCAACTGTTTGGCTGTGAGACCCCGAGGGCCAAGGATTCTCCCCACGAAATTATACTGCGGATACAGAGAAACAAACCAGTGAGAGATTAAGACATTTTAACTATGTTTATGTCAGTACATTGAATTGCAGTTCCATCTTGAACTGGACTATGGGTTAGGGTTAGTACACACACACACACACATATATATATATATATATATATATATATATATATATACACACACAGAGACACACTAGTACTAAGTATATAGACAGACATACACTCTGGAGTGTGGATACCTGACACCTGGTAGCTACTGCTAGCTGATATTAACAGTCTGCAGAAATCAGGGTGGAAATCCCCCCAAAAATTGGCAGATCAGTGTCTTCTATGGTCCATTTCACACCCCTCCTGCAGCACTGCTAAATTATTAGATGCTTTTATTCTCCTCATCATGGAGATAGCAACACTGGAAAGAATATGTAAATTTATAAAATATTATCAAGGAAGAGCAGTTTTCATATGATACATAGACTCCCCAATGGATTCATGTTTTTTTTCATTTTCGCCTGACTTGCTTTCCAAGCACATGCAACACTGGGATTGGCTTGAACATACTTCAGCATCCCCACTTGATTTCAAAAAAATACATTAATAAAGAAAAATAATTAGCATGAAATAATCTGGGTGGGAATAGTGGGGAGAGGGGAAGGGGGGTTGAGGGGGTGTGGAGTTGTGCGGTGAGTTTGTACCAAAAGGGAACATATTTACCGACATAATCCTCTCCACTTGAAACCAGCTTCCAACTGGATCAAGGGAAAATGTGATGAAATAATCCAACACAATTTTTAGCCAAAGAAAACTGAAAGAAAGGAAGATTGTGGTAAACAAATCACCCATGTTTAAACAAAGAGTGGTGGAGAGCATGATGGGTAAGAGATCCGCTGCTATTAAAAAGGGATATTTTTTACTCAAGCTAAATTTCCAAATCTAAAATATTTAAATGCTCACTGGCAAGGTGGAAAGCATTTACTTGATGACAAGAGGCACAACGGTTTGCCTCTTGAGCTGCTACAATGAGCCGTGAAACCCCTGCATTAAATTCTTAAACGCAGTGAAATCAGCTTAAACACTCCACCACACCAATGCTCCTGCAAAGTCCAAAAAGCCATCAGAGAAGTCACATTTAATTAGAGAGGGATTACAAATTTAACGCCAAGTTTGTGTATTTTGTCCTAAACAATGTTAACACTAGTGAGGAGAGTGTAAAACTCCAAGCTGTTGTTTTCCCTTGTCCCTGTTGCCTGTATCCGAGGCCTGTCGGGAAAGACGCATCCTGTGGCTGGAGAGATGCAGATGATCATAGCATGCAGCTATACGGGGCTCATGCATGTGTTTCTTTGTCACAAGGCAAATGTCTGTTTGGTTCACTTAAATCAAGGAAACTGGTCCAGGGAATAGTTTGTGAGTGTGTGTGCCTGCAGAAGGATGCATGGGCACCTGTCCTCTGAGGTCAGCCACCAAAGATGCATGCTGGCCTGCCTCTGACACACACACTGACAAAGACACTGACACACACACACACACACACACACACACACACACACACACACACACACACACACACACATATACACAACACAGACACACACACACAGCCCCAAGGAGCACTGGAGAGGGCTGTCTGTCTGCATCATAGTGCTGCTGCAGACATGGGTGAGCCCCGAGCTCAGGGCTTTATGGCGGCGCTGTGGTACTGCTACACAACACACACAAACACACGGCCTCTAGCCTTTAAAACAGAGACTACAGTGACAATGTCCAGGGTGTTGTTATTCAGCTTTCCTGCTCACAATTGCAGTACCACACTTGAAAAAATGCTTGCTGTCATTTTGCACACACACAAAAAAATTTCACCTGCAAGGTTTAAAAAGTTACTTGACTTTCATTTAGTTTTGTTTCTGCAGATGGGACATGTGGCAGTTCCCTTCAGCCTTGCAGGCTACGTGTATCCTCCATGAGTCCAAATCCCATTGGAACAACAGAACATGAATATATTAAATACACACAATAGGTGTATTACAGAGCAAGCCCCAGATGTCAAAAAGAATAGAGACAGGGGAAAGAGTAAATCTGATTTAAAATCTGAGGTGGTTGCTTGAGTGATACAGAAAGAGCTTTTAATATTTTATTCTCTGGCCTTCTCTCACCTCGTTGCTAATGCCACTCTCCCTCCGACAGTGGTAAGTAAGTATTCTCTGTAGACATGAATATGCTGATGACAAATGCACTTGACAGTGAGCAGGGGCCTGATGGAAGAGAGCTAAGTGAAGTTGAGAGAGAAAGGGTAAGAGAGAGGCTGGCACAAGAGTCCGCCCACCCCCTCAGTGCGAGAGCTTGTGGGTGTGGAGGCTAGTGAACCACTGTCAGATGTGTTTTTTAAATGCTGACATGGGCATGTGCACACACACACATGTGGGCAGGGGGCATGGCAAGGAGCAGGCGCCGTGTCTGGCCAAGCAGTCACCGCAAGTTTTACTCACACACAAATGACTCCAGGAAATGTAATCCTCAACACACATCAAATTACCAAGCTTCTAGCATCTCGCGTCAATCTTAAGAGGTAACAAGAAACAACACTTCCTCCTCCTATCAACCCATTAAGACCTAAGTCGCAGAATTAAATGCACTTTAAAATCTAAGCTGTTTTAAAAAAAACATCAAACAACTGAGGGTTTTCTGAGGAGCCAACCAAATTGCCCAAGTTTATTAAAGATACCATTTGTTAGTTTAAACATTGGCTCCTCAAACACGTGTTCCTACCGACTGAGCCTTGCACGTTAGATGGCACATCGCCCTTGTCTGAATCTTCTTCTTACTTATTTTCATTGTTGTTTTTTTAAATTAAACACTGCTGTAATCTGCTTCAATATCACTCCCCTCTCTCAGATCGTCAGCCATGTCTGATGTGCTACTTCAAAACGTTTCTGCAGGCTAAGAGCACTATCAAACAAACTCCATTTCCCATAATGCATCTCACATTTCCCACAAGTAATTCAGCAAATCAAGATGTAGACGTGTGTGTATCTGGCTCTAAAAAAGGTATATACACGTAAATGTTGCATCCAGCTTAAATGGGTTCAAACTCAAGTCCGACTCTACTGTTGATATGAATACAAAATCATCTCAGTGAGGGAATAAAGCACTCACACTCTCTCTCTCTGCTCCCTGACTTGCAGCTCTGTACTGTGGGTTTGACATTCTTCTAATGGATGTTGATATGCTCTTGGAAAAGGCGACCTCCATTTTAAACCACTGGAATGTAGAGACAATGGGGGAGCCAAGTGGGTGAGTTATTAGGGGGGGTGCAGAGCCATCGAGGCTGCCAGGAACTCAGAACACAGTACAGCCAGAGGAGCAGGATGCATACAGTGCCCTCTCTGCCAAATACAGCATCCCTTCAGCAGCTTCTCTTTCTAAACTAACCTCTATGTTTCTGCTGTTGCATCAAATCCACCGGCCCCCTAGACTCATGTCCATAAATAACATCATGTTGGGGGGGCCAAAGCTTTGCACTGTCAATTCTGAGTGAGAAATTCATTCAATTTTTACAGGCTATTAACAATAAAAAATAAAACAAGCATCACTAGTTTTCCCTTTGGCACATGACTGCTCATGACTAATGACAGAGCAACAAGTTATTCAGGAGTTTAAAATCATGATGTCATATCCTAGTATAAAGTGTGTATTATAATATGTGCAAAACTGAGGACAAAGTTAAAAACTGTTCTGGTGGAACTACAACACACCAATGAGCAGGAGAAATATAAAAACGCTATTAGCACTTTCACTTCCCTGTGAATTCTGTGGACAATGACCTACTCTATTCACATGTCAGCTCAATTGAACATTACACAGACTTTGTGTTAGGGAACTGTCAGAGTAAAGTCCATTTGATGTCCAGTTCAAGTACTTTGGACATTTGCGTTCACACATATACCTCCTCTGGGTAATGTCTGCAAAAGTTCAGGGTGGCAGTGAATGTGTGAAAGCAGCTTTTGTCTCTCAACAGTACACAGCCTCCATCTGGGTAACAAACTGCTGCTCCACCTCTTTGCTAACAGAGTAGATATGAGCTGCTCTCAAACATGCACTGAACTCTGACTGTCCTCTACAGACAAAAAGTCACGAGATTAGTCCTTAGGGGCTTTTTTGAAAGAGTCATTAACCAGGCCAGAAAAAAAAAAAAACATTTGAAACCAATACGGCGAATGATTTAAGTTCCAACACCAGGCTAACCAACTCACAGGGATGTAGAGCTGGACTGTGGAAAACAAAGAAAAAAGTATGCTTAACAGCTTTGTTTAATGCAACACGGTCAAAACCTTTTTTGTGTTTTGTGAAAGATTGTTGGGACCTTTGGTGGATCGGCTCTTTCCCACACTCGTCTGTTTCAGTTATGTTTTATCTCTGTTTTCCTAACAAACATTCCAACAACATTGAGAAACACAAACAGGAAATATACAAACTGTTTCTGACAGACCGATAAGATGTGCAAACACTTACGAATGTACACAAAGCCCCCTTCAAGACATGGGCTTACACTGACATTAAAGGTTCTTTGTTTAGCTCCAGTTATCACTTCTCCACAGGCAGGTTTTGTTGTGAACATATCTACGTCTACGACACTTGTTTGAGTGTGTTTGTGTGTGAAACCACAATACATTGGAGTGAACTCTTGCAGACACCCCCGGCACCCAGAGCTGATTATGGTGTGGGTTTGCGTGCACGTGTCTTGTGGTTTGTTTTTGTGAGAAGCGACTGCAGTTCTACCAACAATGCTCAGAGGAGAAGAACAATTGTGGCTTTGATGGCGTTTTGTTTGTGGCGGTGGGGAGACAGGAAATGAGGTCATGCTCTCTGGCTGCATGCATGCAGGGCTTATCAAAGAGAGGGGCCTGGCCAAGAGGAGAATACCAATCACTTATTAGCCTGCCTCACTGGAAATGAGGAACAATTTATTTGGTGCAATGTATCAAAGAAAGGTGGAATTAGTGGTTACACCAGGCACTT